GGAAGTATAGCTTTCCGCCTGAGATTTGCTTCACCGCTATTCGAACATCCTTTTACGATGGAAATTAAATTGGAAGCTTGATATAAGTTACGATGTTCAGACTATTCATATTTTTATTTTTAGATTGTCAACATTTTAAAATTTAAGACAATTTAAATTTTAAAATTTCAATTCTTAATTTATTTAAAGTGCCAATTATTAATTCATTTAAATTTATCCATTTTAAATCCATTTCTTTTTTGAACATTTCAAAATCCGACAAATACAATAATGATTTTCCTGTCTCTGATATTAATACATACTTCCATTTCTCATGATATTACTTACTGCTGGATATCATACAAGAAGATAGTATTAAGATTAAAGTTAGATAGCTGAATAGAGATAGAGATGGACAGAGGTAAAAAGCCAGTGAAAAGCGAGAAGGAAAAGGGAGAAAGCCAGGAAGTGGGGAAGTTTTTATTGGTGTGGGGACCCATAATTGAACCCACATAAGTACTCTTTTCATATCATCGTAGCGAAATGATGAAAGAGGATTACAGAAATCCCGTGGGACCAAAAGCTGACATAGAAGTGGAAAAGGAGCAAAAGAAACAAAAGTCGATGGTCAAGGAGACGAGTCAAAAATGCAAGATGCACTACTGGACAAATTTATTGCAGTACTTGAAAAATCAAGAAATTTCTGTTTATGTTGTATTTTTTTAATTGCATTCCGTAAAAATATGAATATTTGCTTGCTTATCACAACTTTTAAAGCTATGCATGTAATGGCGGATTACAGGAACGGAATATCTCGCAGAGCGTTCTTACATTCCCGTCGATACGTTTCGACGTGCGGTTCGCGAACGTGCCGTAAGTGGTCTTGGACGATTTAAGCCCGGAGAAACGAGCTCGAAATTCACCCATTCCCGTCTAAGTCCTGTACATTTTGCCGCCGGAAGAGATGTTCGTGACTCGTGAGTTCCTGTGAATGGTCTTGCAGCTCGCAATCGTCGACGTGCGAGAGTATCGTTTCAAGGAAATTGCGATACCTACCCAGATATTTACTGTAAATTGGAACCTTTTTAACCTTTCATACATCAAAATTCTTACCAAGGATTCTCTTAACCTTTGAATAGGGGATGCTTTATGACCGACACAGTATTCGGATATAAGGTCATTTTCACTCGTAATAGTGCCATCACAATTGTATACAAGAATTTAAGTGAAATTAAATTTCAACTCTAAATTATACATTTTAGAGTTTTTCTACACTGTATCAATATTTTCCTTGGAAAACAGTGTATACATATTTTTGATTCAGTTTCCCTTTATATTGTACATATGTACCTTGTTCGAGACTGTCGCACAGAAACCAGCAAGTCTCATTGGTTTTTCTCACCGGAAATTAAACCTCTTTTCGTCGAACGTTACAGAAACTGCTTTAGGAAAAAGAGGGGCCGTGAGGGGGTCGGGATCGTTTCTTTTTTGCATATTTCTACGGGACCGTCGCGACGGCGAGCAGTTCATTTCCTCGATTGGATAGGGTCTAATTTCTCTTCTTTTCAGATCGAACAGTTGATGACTCTTCTCTAGTGCTCCGAGAATATTTAGCAAAGTAATGTTTCCTGCCGAGACAGCTTATTGTCGTTTCGTTTGTTCCGTTACCGCCTTTTATCCTCCCTGTAATTTGTCCCAACTGTGTTTCCTAGAAAAATCCCTTTGCACTCAGAGGATTCGCAGTTTCTGGAGAAGCGAATATTACTTCCGCTGCGATTTTCGAACAATCACTTTGAGGCTATAATTAGAAGCACGAGGTATTAAGGTTACTCCAAATAGAGATTTTATTTTTCATCAGAAATATTATTTCTCTGAACGAAAGAAATTTGAAAAAATTCATTTTTCTAACTTTTTATGCATCCCAAAGTTGGCTACTTTTTGTTCTATTTTTTTACCGGAAATTACAATTTACGGAATAGGTCGATATCTTTGACGTGCAGTGATTTTAACAGAGAAAAAGCGCAAAAATATTTCTACGAACAAATCGTGAAGCGATCATTCGGGCCGTGCAAAAAAATCCCGTACAGCAATATTTTGTATTCCACGTGGTTTACCCGTGAAAAAGATGTAAAATCGGGATACGCGTATACCGTTGCAATAATAACGAATTTCTAGTGGATTTAGACACTCGGTATTTTCCTATTCAAAAAAAATGCAGGAAATTACCGATCGCCGAAATTATTATTTCGCCAGAAAAAAATTATAGTACAGCGATTCTCAATTAATGACACACGAGAGAGAGCAATGCTGAACAGATCGATTTTGTCCAATGTCTGTATTCCATGATCGGCAACGCGTTTGCATCAAAAGCAAATATTTTAACGAACGTTAGCGGATGCATCGGCGCAAACATCGTGAATAGAGAGAGAGTTGGTCGCTGATCAACTGTAAAATAAACCGTTCGTGTTACAGGGGGAGGAAACGAGCGGGGGTCGTATAATGCCTGTTAATTCGGAATCGAAGTGAAACTTTCCGTTAAATCAAACGAGACATTCATGACTGCGGTGGCCGGACTCTGATCAATGCGACAGCGTTTACACCAGTTCGTTGGGAATCGAGTTAAAGAGCGTAGCTAGTACGTGTACGAGCGTGGATAGTAATCCCAGGATAGGTAAACTTGTTAATAACAGGGCTACCCCTTGAAACTATTGATTCATATTGATAGGTACCTTTAACTTCGGTCTCATGCATATTCATGCAAACGATAGAACTGAGAGGAGCTGGAAAATAAACAAAAGAGACGTGATACCCGGTTTAATGGGGTCATTTTTGGAAGTAAAAACTCTTTCGATCGAATAATCGAATCGTGGCAACTCAGCGTGTATAGGGTATAGAGGGATAGCTGGTCGGTTTAATAACCTCGTGGCCGAGATTTGTCGCCTGTCGACGCGTCGATGGCAAGCTGTAACCCGCTTCCGGGTGTTCCATGCATCGACGATCGCCTTTGGGGATAGTCGGTTCAAAGGTTCACTGTGCAAATCGAACGTGCATGTTTTAAAAGGCGGCTCAACCGGGCCGCAAAATTTTCAACTAGCAGGGAAAACGATGGGAATTTACATCGCGGCTTTTCGATTTAGAAGGGAATTTTCTATGTATTCGATAGACTATCAGAAGCAAAAGCGAGTCGTGTTAAGGTACGATCAAGAGTTTAGATTCACTGGTAACAGAGCTACTTTTCGACTGTACAAGTCAGTTGGGTGATATCGCATGACTCGAGAGTAGAAATAGGTCACCACGATTCTGGCAGATAGGATCTTTCCTAACGGAAGACAGGCGCTAGATATCGAGCGGAATACTGGAAAAGAAAAGGAGTTGAGAGTGCGCCTTGAAAGGCAACGGGATGGTTACGGATCGATCATTCCTACGTACAATAGGAATGTCCACGTTCGATTTGTCTCTCGACGATGCTTCTCGTTTTCTTTTCCTTTTCTATTGATGTCTCTTGCACGAGATTCCACCCACCACTTGCGTGCCACGCTATGCACCAACGAGGTAGTATAGTCTTTTCTTAAGGAAAATGGCGATATAGAAATGTTACTAGGCAATATGAATAAACTTCAAGCTTGAAAAATTAGCTTTCCAAAATCAAAAGAATTCAAATTCCAAAATTTAGATTTAAAAATGCCAAATTGCAGGTTTCAAAATTTGTATACCTTAAAAAGGCTAAAAAATTTCGAAATCCATATTTTGAAATGAAATTTTCCTTAGAAAATATTTACACACGAATTTTTCCCTAGAGTGCCATTTTTCCCAGGAAAAGCAACAGCGCTCGATATCGTAGGTGTACAAAGTCTACAAAGTATTCTGCATATTGAAAAAGGAAATTCTCTAAAAATCCCAATCAATTACTGTTAACTCTACAAGCCACGAAATTCAATCTCTTAAAATGATTCCATGCAACGTCGTTGCATATAGCACACGTCACGCTCAATCGCCATTATTCTGTCGGGCATTCTAAAAAGATAGATAGAACTTAAAATGGGGTCGGTTCTATTTCAAGAAATTCGGTCAATTAACCAAGTACACTGGTTGAAAGTCGAGCAATATTCGCAGACAGGCTCGCATTTCCCGATTGAGCCTCGACTGCCGCACCTGCTGCACTATCCGTTTTAATTTCAAGTCATTTAGTCAATGCGTTCAGGCGGCATTGAATCAAAACGTCCGACCGGACCGTTACCATGCACCAAACATTCTCTACCCTTTACGCACGTGCGTTCGCGTGTATGAGTCGTCCATCTCTCGTGTCATCCCCTCGCACCCCTCTGCCGAGCAATGAATTAATCAGTCAGAGTGATGAGGGACCGCGTTCACCGTCGCGTTCCGACATACATCGATGCCGGAGGACGGTTCTCGACGCGATGCCTCTGATCTGTCGATTCGCTCTGACGAAAGCAACGCACAACATGCTCTGTTCGCTGGATTCAGAGGTATCGTTCAAGATTATCGGTAACGCGTCCACTGATTGGCTGCCTAAGATTTGAGTGCATTTCAGTGACTGAAGAGGAATTAATTGCAATACCCACAAAATATGGTACAGTTATTATAAAATATATAGTACGATATTTATATCTGTTTACAAATTGGGTTAATAGTGACCCAAACTTACAAAACATTTACTATGTCAATAATGTCGTCTGTGGAATGCTAAATATCCTTTCAAGCGATAACGCGTGCATAATAATTTAATATTGCGTCACAATGTATTATAATTTCAGTAGAAACATTGTTAATGCAGAATTGTATTGTTTTTGAAGAAAAAAGAATAAGAAGTTCAATTCACAAATTCACAATTTGTTACAATGCTAAATGTAAATTAGAATAAGTAACCATTAGTTATGAAATGACACTTAATTATGCAATAATTACAAACACAGCTGCACTACATTGTCTTCGCCTTTTATTCGTTTCCGGGTGTCATTCATCGGTTTCGTATAAATACCCGACTGTTCGAGGATGAAGATGTCAGTACCAAAGTACGGAGTTGAAAAGTGATCATGTCTGCGAAACTCATCGTCTTCCTCGCCATTGTTGGAGCGACCTACGCTCTTGTCGCTTCTCCTGTAAGTTACTACTTTTTGAATATATCACTATACTTTGTCTTACAAACTTCGTAAAAATTGCATATTTCGTAGTTGAAGAAAATATCCGTGAAATATATGTATATAGTATTTTAATAAAATGTAATTAGAATTTTATAAGTTCCCCAGGGAATTTTATAGCCCCAAGGGTACTAAACCCTTAGGTTTAGGAAATTTCACAAGTCCCTTAGGGATTTTTATAGACCTGGGGAGAATTTTATAGGCCTCTCAAGGAATTCTATAGCTTCCCTAGGGGATTTCCCAAGTCCCGTAGGAAATTTTACAGGTTCTCTAGCTCTATTAGTCACATTAAGTGTCTAGAAAATTATTACATTGTGAATCTTGTTCCAATTATAATACTCCTTGGAAGGAGTAGACAGTTCTTGAACCCTATTAATTTACTACAAAGTACGCTGCATTAATTTGTGTGATTGCATGATTTTTAAATATTTTATCATCACGCCTGAACACAAAATTCTGTACTAGTATCCTATACAAGATAAGTAATGTAACCAGAATTATCTCAAAACAATACAGTTGATCAGCACTGTACACTCCCTTTTCAGTGCCCCTTTTATCGTGTAAATAATACAAAAAATTTATTTTCAGAAATTCAGGAGGGACGTTGAGAGCGGAGGTTCAGCGTCTAACTCTTCTAACGCATCATCTGAGAATGGAACTTCGTCTAACTCTTCTCACACATCATCTAGTGGATCATCTAGTGATTCTTCTAGTAGCTCCTCTAATAGTACTTCCAGTAACTCTTCCGGTAACTCTACCAATGCCGCCGATTCCGCTGCAGCCTCAGCCGAAGCCGCAGCCGCTTCAGCCAAAGCCGCAGCCGCTGCAGCCGCAGCCGCAAACTCAGCTTCAGCCTCAGCTTCTAGTAGTGCAACGTCGTCAAATAGTTCGAGCTACGACGTCGAGAAACAAGTGGAAAAACTCATGGCTGAAAAAAATCGCACCGCCATTTTAGACTTCGCCGGTCTCCCTAACTTGAAATCATGGCTGTCGGAAGTAAACTTCACCGACGTCACTTTCGTCGCCAAAGTGCCCAAGCTGCCAAGCCTGCGTCTGTTGCCCCCCATTGTTGGCCTCAGGGAAAGAATCAGACTGGCCAGGGCTCGTCTGCTGGCTCGTCTGAATGGTGAAGATGACATACCAACCGCTATCCAAGATGCCACCATCAAGGCTATCCACGCCGTCAACCCTACCGAGGCTCTGTCCGATTTGGCTTACACCATCTTAAACACGTACTACACCTTGGCCGCGAACTGTCCATTGCTCGCGAGGACCGCCATACTTGCAGAGGGAGTAAAACTGGTCACCTCATCGCTCCAAGTTGTGGTCCGAGCTAGTGTTGAAGTTAACATCTAAGTATGGTGTGCTAGTACTGAATCAACAATTTATGACGACGCTCGCTTGATCAATGGACGCAGACCAAAATTGTAATTTCTGGCTTCACCAGGAATTCCTCAGCATTTATCATATTAGATTTGATGTGCAATACTTTAAGTTGCAATAAAATTTTTAAATGCATTAATGAATTTCAAGTGTTTAATCGATTTAATTAATTTTTTAATTCGAAAATTTAATATTCCTAAATTTCTCAACTTCTGACAATTTGAAATGTTGATAATTCATAAATTTTCTCCATGAATCCTTCAGTGAGCACTTGATTTAGCACCCGGTACACTGTAGATAACGAACAGGAGCATTTCCTTCTTCGCTAACAGTTGCTGTATCCCTCCGCACAGTCATCGAACGATCAAGCAAGTCTGCTTCAACTATCGGCGCTTTACGGTTGGTCGCCAATCCCTCAGCTTCTCGTTCGTTCCCTCTGACCTCGTGCGGTCAGCTGGATCCCATGGCCAAAGGTATTAATAGGCATAGTTCCGAAAGTGAAGTATATACCCTGTTTCAACGGAGAACAGTGGAACACCACGGCTATATTCGGGGATGATATAAGCTACGGAAGAGTAGAATACTTGGCCGACCAGCCAGCCTGCTCGATCGACGTTCATCGAGATAATGGATTCCATGTGCAATTTAATAAGCAGCCTTGCTTCTGATTTCGATGCCACGCGAGCCTACCGTTATTGGCAGCTAATTACGTGCAATTAGGCGGAACGCATTACGAGATTAAAGGGGCATACAAATGGCAAGAAATATGAGATAGAGTCGACACAATATCTGCATATACGTTTAAAAAAGAAGGTATTGTGGTATACTACTACATTTGAGTAGATGTACCCTTACCAAAGAGGCGAAGGGATTTAAAGAAATCGTAAGAGAGGAAAATAATGTTTCTTGAGATGTCTAGGGAATTTCTGAATTCCCCGAATTCAAAAATTCTAAGATCCCAAAATTTAATAATTTAAAAATTTCTAAGATACTTGGCCTACCCCAGAAAAAATCCTAATTATCTCCGACGAGTATGAATGCGTCGATCGATCCAGGTGAAAATCCAATGAAGGCAAAATAAATAAGAATCGAGCGTTTCATTTCTAGCCAGATAGTAGATTTTAGCGTTGCCTGTCCACGCTGCCAAGATCTCCGCAAGCCCGTATTCTCCGCCATCTTCTGCGGGGCCAGCACCGTAATGCACCTGCTCGATCAATACTGCTTACGCGGCATCGATGCACGCGCCACTCGGTACCGTTCAATCCAAAGGACATCGAACGGAATAATGTTCGTTGCGTGTTTCGGAAATCGTACAAAGCGCTTTACTAATCGTCGATGCTTCAATGCTCGCTTTTAACCTTACCGATTCAAACGTAACCAACTCTCATTCTGTAGTTGGAAATCGAAACGCATTTGTCAAAGGCTCTGTAAAGGCAGCTGTGCAACGAAACTTGCGCTTCGAGGCTGTTTAAATATAACTGGGAAACTGACAATATCTCGCGAATGCTAATTGGATCCGGTGTGTTGGCTCGTGGCGAAGAAACCGGGTCAGAAAGGGTTACATATTGGTACATGCGCGCTTACGTCGCGCACGAACACCGTTCGAAAATCAATTTAGGTCTGCGGATAGATTCGATTTCGAGTAGAATCTCTGTTAAATTAAGTGTAATCCTCGAGCGGGTGTAGTTCTTATAGCTGGTTTCAGTGATTTTAATGACACGGACCGTATAGATTTTCTATTAGCTACGCTGTCTGTAGTTTTAGGTGGATCGTTTGGATGCGTGCTAATTGTTTTTCTTAATAAAAACTAGTTGAGTTTCGATAGGATAAATTAACAGAATATATCCTGAATATCTTTAGGTAGATTTACGGAACACATTTGTCCTTGAATGACAAATAAAGAAGCTCGCTACCTCTGCATAAACGCAACAAAGATCCGTAGAAATTCAGTTGCACAAAGGTCGTTAATGCCGGAATCGATATCCGTTTCCGGATTGGTAACGATACAATCAACGTGACCGCCAAGAAGCTCGGTCTCGCAGCAGAGATAGCTAGATTCCATCTAGCCGATCCGAGCCCGTGCTAGGCATTACCTATCCGTCTATCCTCTTATCCGCCTACCCATCATTAAGACTATTAAAAATCGATGACGGTTAGATGGGAAGACAGGCGAACAGACGTGGGTCGATGAATATTTCTGGAAGGTTACTTAACCTCCTGGGTCCCGAGTGGGACTCTGGCTAGCCGAAGGCACCGGAACGTTATGCGAACCGGTTGTGCAGCAGGAATCTGTTTCTGCTCCCACGCGCCATTCTCCCTTCTTCGTTCGCCATTTCACCTCCCCCGCACACGGCAATCCGTCGTCGTCGTCGTTGTAGCCCGGGATCAGAAATTACCGCTCCGCTCCGGCCCGGTCAACGTGCATTGACCGGCGTGCGAGTAGGATGCAACCGAGTGTGACCCTTAACGCGAACTAGTCGTCCGTGACCCCCTTGCTCTGTTAAATCGTGAGCTACTGGTGGACCAAGAGACACGCACGCGTGCCGTTTCCTCCCGTTTCGTTCCGTACGCGTGCACGATCACGCGTGTCGACCAGAGTAGACGTGCCGAATAAGCTCGGACCAGTCCCACGTCTCTACCCCCAAGCACACGTGGTACCGTAGCTATGCGGCACGGCGCGCGATCAGTTTCGTTTCGTTCGGCCGTGCTCTGATTCGTAAACGTCATCACGGCTCGAAGCCTGCGAGCAATTTTCATCATGGGAATATCCGAGCATCGAGACAGGGTCTAGGGAAAAATTTCTACGTTTTTGTTATCGATGGGATGGGGCAAGCAGCGTGGGATGGTTTACGTTTGAAGGATTCGTTCCGCTATCTTGATCGTGAATTACTTCTACGGCTAAGGGGCCCGAGGCTTTCGCATTGTTCTGTAATAGCGTTGCCTTCGTAGTTGGCTTCATTTTGTCTCGCCTTGAAATTTTCAAAATTTCCAATTTTATCGACGATACCCTGATCACTGTCCATTCAGTGCAACCAATACCATAGATATTCCGAGTTGATATAATTGGACAGCACTTCTTCGATGAATATCACCGGCATCGATAAGTACCACTTCCAACTTTCTTTTCCTTTCGGTTTTCATCTCGAACTGCTTTCGTCGAACGGAGCCACCAAGTTTCCCGTGTCCTCCTTGTGTCTTCCTTCTCTTTCCCGGCACGGATGCCGGCTAACGAGCGACGTTAGACAGGATGCAATTAGCAGAAGTCCTCTTTTCAGGTTAGGTATAGGTTTTTTCCCTTTTGCCGGAGGAACAAGTGACGGGCAGGGAGGAAAAAACTCCCGGACACCCCCAATTGAAAGTCACTTCGCCGCGCACCTAATTTATTTCTTTCTCTCTCCTTCTTGTCTCTGAATGCAAATTTCTCTGGCCGCGGCAACTTTTTTTTTTTTTTTATCCATCCCTTTTCGTCCATCCCCTCAGGACACGAAGTCTGACGCCCTTCAGGCCGTTCCCCGTGGCTCGCATCAGTATTCCTCTCATTTGTCTCGCACTGATTGTCCGGGAAGCGTAATAGCGCAATCTCCAGGGCGAAAGCCAGCCTGGGTGAACAGCACCCACAGACTCGAACCCCTTCGTCAGGTCACGTATTACAGCTGAATCGGCGACCTACCTACCCAACGGGATAATCAGCTTCTTTGCAGGGCGAAAAAATCACGCGGCAATTAAGCGCTGATACATGGGAAATGGAAATGACCGCAGTCGTGATCAACCGTTTGTGTGTTTTGTGAGAACGCGAGGAGCATTTGCCCCAACGAAGGGCGCACGAACGTGCAAGTGGCGTGCACTCTAGGACACTAGATTTGAAGATTTGACACTTCTGTATTTCTAAATCTCCAATTTTTCAAGCCCCTCGGCGGGCACTAGGGAAACATTCGACAATTTTACATTTTTAATTACATTTCTTCACGTCAAGTATCAATTTTTGGAAAGCATACAAACATCAGACAAAGCGAAAGTTTATTAACGAACCACGTATTTAATCAATTTTCAAACGAAATTTAAAAATTGCGTAATTATTTTGTTCCCGTTTCGTTACATCTGTAGCTGACATTCGAAAGCGTCGTTTACGTGTAACGTTCGCTCGGAGCTGTAGGTCGCGATCGATTTTTCTCAGTTTTCGTTGTGCCGAGTGATTTCAAACCGTAATTTCACCGAACGTACTTAAATGAAATTTCAAGCCCGTTGATAGTCGATTGTTTTCACATTCATAACACGGGGGACGTCGTTGTGTCTCGCGTGAGCGAAACGGTGCCAACCACAGGGGACGGCTTTTATCCCTCGTAACGGGCCGAAAATTCGAGGGCTTGATTAATTAATGTAATTTCGATTCGTCACCTGTAAATGAGTTTGGTCACGGAGTTTCGCGTCTTCAAAACGAATGATATGATACGAATTTTTCAGCAAAATTCAAGCTGGCTATCATTCGGTGGTTAATTGATTATTTATCAATTGATTTACAATAGAATTTAAGTCACGAGCCAATACAATTTTTTTTCTACGCATCTTATTTCCAGTGGGCGGAGGTTGTAACCTGTTTTGTGGCTCGTTCAAGCATCAAAGTTCGTTTCACCGTGGCATTTCGAAACCACCGATCGAACAAACTTAGTTTCATATCCGGTGCGGTCTCTAAAGCTTTCGGTATCACGCCAACCACGCTGTCAAAGCGACCGGGCGTACTGGCATCGAGCGATCTGAAAGGAATAACCTGACATGCCATGTCGCCCCTGCACGCGAACCTGCCGTCGAGAATCATCTCCCTCCATCGACCATCTTTTACCCCCTTTTATACCCATACAGTGCTAAACCAGCACTGAATCCGGATCACTTTAACCGTCTCCGATTCATCGGAAAATATCATGGTTCCGATTCTTGCTTGTGTTTCAAGAGGGTGCGTTTCTGTTGAGCTGGCTGGGTTCCTTCTAGCCCCCACCCTCCATTAATCAATTCTTACGTGTGAAAAATTTATATAGTAATTTTCAGCAACTAAAATTTAGCTAGTTTAGTCTGGTTTAGTTCTTATCATCGTGTAGATAGATTAGAAGGTAACGTATGAGATACAGTTGATTACACGTAACGATTTCGT